TGATTTCATGGATCCAATAACAATAAAAGGGGTCTGTTTAGTTTTTCCCTAGAGCTGTATATATGGAATTTTCACTCTGAATAGGAATATCGCTATTCTGTAAAATTTGGGTGTATCGAAATTAGAGCTTGAGTGAAAGAAATACATTAGTCTTAATATTTGTTCCACAGTTTTCTCCCGATGTATGTGATCTGTACTTCAGAGAAGATGAGACTCACTCCCACTTATTACTAGACTGCAGCATAGCCTGGAAGATGTGGGCACATCTGATGAATCTGATAGTCATAAGCTGGTTGGTGCTGAGCCAAAGGCGCTGAGGCAAGTTGCTATTTTTGCAGAACTTCTGTGCATTTGGTTAGCAAGGAATCACCGGATCTTTCATGAGCCATCAGCGTCATCTATGACCTAAGGGAGAGGGTGATTTTCATGCCATTCTTAGGGGCAAAAGCGCACAGACATTTTCCAATCATTAACCACCTAAAGTTTCACCGCAGCTGGGATGTTATCATACATAGGCAATAGAGAATCAGAATTTTCTGCAGTAACTTTGAGCTTTTTATTTTTGTTTATGTATTGAAGAGGATGTCTTATTCTCCACTTTTGTAATTATTTCGATCTCTTTCTCAATAAAGTTTCTTCTTTTATCTAAAAAAAAGTACTTGTTCTATAGTACATCCGGTTCTATCCCTCCTGTAGATTATCAGTTAATCAAACCATGCAAAATTCTTGTGTTCTTTTACTCCTCCGCATTGCTTTGCTTGTTACTTATCGTTGTTGGACACTACAATTCTAGGGAGAAAGGGAGGGAATCCCAAATTGTTTATTTAAGTTAGAATCGATCACAATAGAATAGGATACATTATGTTAATGTTTGAAAATTTTTAGGCCTTCTTTTCCCTTCTCTTCCGTAATATAGGGTAGTTTAAAAAAATGACTTTGGGGAAAAGTGAGAGAGACTTACCATCCCTATTTTTCTCTAGCTCTTTCTTATTTGTAACCGACCTAAGAAACTAATGGTGAAAGTTTCTTATTTTCCTTTTCCCTCAGTCCCTCAATGCAAACAGACTTAGAGAAAACAGATCACATACTATAAAGTCATATTCTACGACAATTGTTTTTGTATGAAGAGATGCTTCCCTATTTATTATTTTTTATTTAGCATTTCTATTGCTTCTATTAAATTGTTAGGCTTTTCAAGTTGAATATTAACTGATCATCATAAGTATTAAATGATTTAAATTGGTTATAAAATTGTGGTAGTATCAAGAAAAATTAAACAATAATAAACTAAGTCAACCAGTTTACAAACTTGACCAACTTTAAGCTCTGTCTCAGTTTAGATCATTTTACCTCTCTGTTGCAACAGATTTTGTTTAGGTTTCTTTGTCAAATCAACTAAAACTGAACCTTTCACACCCATATTGTTGGTTTAACAGACCGATTGCATGACTATGTTCTGTAGTAGAGGAAAAAGCTAACAGCATGCCTACTGCTGTTCTATGGCATAGTACAGGAGGTTTCTTATATCAGGCTATGCAGCCTGTGGACCACATAGCCTATTCAATAAATCAGTGTCCAAATGTAGAAAGTAAACGAGATAAGATCAGACACTAAAACATAACCAGCATTACCTGGGGTTAAATAATAACTTAGGAGTATTGTTTGCCGATAAAATTGAGCATGTCCATCCAGATACCTAAACATGTAAAATAATTTGGAATTAGTTTGACCAAGAAATACAAGATAAAAAACAAAAACAGACATGAATCAAACAAAGCAAGCCATTGTGTCTTACACTAGTACTATTATAGCATCTAAAATGTTCTTAGTAATTTGCAAATTTTCACTGCAAAGTATAGTTACCTAAAAAAGGATATATTTTTGGTCATGGTGGTCTTAAGGACATAGTTAGGGTGGGTATGTCATATCTGAGGGATAGGCTTAGTTATTCAAATTGGATAGGAGTCTCTGAGCTTACTGGAGTAGGTAGCATTTCTTCAAAGTAGGTCCATAGTGAAAGATGGAAGTTAGGTTAGGGCCTAAAGGAGGGGGAAACACCAACAAATAGAGACTCACAAGCACTTGGTATTCCAATTTGGATCGTTGTCCATGAGTAAAAATGGACTTTGGTCTTAATGGAATACACACACAAATACACGCACACAGGTGTATGTCATAATTTTCTCTCCTATTTTTCATCATTATTGTTTTCTGTTAACCATTATCACAAAGTTGAAGGATGTTATTGATGACCTGCAGTTAAGGACTAAACACACATACAGGTATAAGTCACAATTCCCTCTCCTAATTTTCATCATTGCTGTTTGTGTTAATCATTATCCAAGTTGGTTACATGTAATTGATGACCTGTATATGAGGCCTAAATCACTCAATACCAGAAGTTCAGCTTAGACCTAATGATTTGAGTTTAAATGTTTGTTAAGCCAGTAATCGTTTAGCTGGAGGCATTAAAGTTTGTCATGTCAACACTTATCACACGAAAGCTACATCACCAACGAATGGAGGACAAAAACAAGATCCACATTGCTATATCATGTTAGGAACTGCCAAATATGATCATGTTCTGGAGAAAGTACCATTGGGGGGAAGGGGTAGCAAAGTAGATACTAACAAGGAGACTAAGATGGTATTGCATTCTAAGTCATTAATACAACTAAAAATTCCCGTAACTTCATAATGTTTAATTCTATATTCTGCCAGAGAAACAAAACTAGGAAAAAAGCATGAAATAAAAAGTTGCTCTTGCTGTAATAAGTAGGGAGGTCAAGGAACTATAACCAGTGCAACTGATCTCATTCCTACATTGCACCAAAAGACCTTTTTTTTAAGATAAAAGAGTAGTAGGGAATACATTGCACCAAAAGACTTGCTGAATGAGCTTCCTCCATGGCGTTGTATTTGACACACAACCGATCTCATTCCTAGATTTCAATTGTCAAATCTACCAGCCTATCATATGAATCCAGTGAATATGTTGAACTAAGTGTGACAAGGTGATAAATTACTCTCTAAAGGATTTATGCTAGGAAGATTAAGTCCATGTGTTGTCCCTGCTGTACTTACCCGAAGAAAAATAATACATGCAGAAAGTGTATTGATAGTCATACAATCATCAAAATTATAATCGAGTTATAGGTTCCTGTACCTTATCTTGGTTGGATGCCAGATCTTAGGACATTTTTTAAATACGTTTACATGATAGACTTGAATAGAGGATATCACCAAATTTGGATGAGGTCAGGAAATGAGTCGGAACCATTCAAAATAAGGATGACCTGTGAGAATAGCTAGTTTATGGTCTATGACCTTTGGGATCTTGGGGTACAACTGGGCATTGGCGAGCATGGTCAATGATGAAATTTGGGCATGGAAGGGTATTGTGTCGGAAGAAGTTTTTCGGGCTCATTCCTTTCAATATTTTTTGGGTTGTTTGGAAGGAGAGAAATAGAGGAGTTTTGAGAGAGTAGAAGAGGGTATTGATAGAATTAGAGAAAGATGGTTCAATCCCTTCATGTGCTGATAATGAAACAACATTTGTATATTCTATTAAGAATTTCATTGATCTAATTGATATGCTAAGTGAGTTGTAAATTCTTTTTCTAAATGGATTTAGCACCCCCTTGATGCTTGTAAATAATACAAACGAAACACTTTTTATTTAAAAAAAAATGAAAGTAGCTAGTTATGCTATTCAAACTTTCTAATGCATGTGAACCAAGTATTCCAAGCTTTTTTAACAAGTGATTTCTTGTAATCTTCTTCAAGAATATCCTTATCTTCAGCAAGTCCAATGAACATCATGTCTTTCACTTACAACAAGTTATGAGAGTTCTATGTCGGGAAAAAAACTCTAAATGTTAACCTCAATGAATATGCAGTAATGAGTACCAAGGTTGTGTTCGGGATTCATTGTCTCTACTAAACGAGTAAGTTGATCCATAAAAAGTTTAAGCTACTCGAGCATGACCAACTCCCAAAACTCTATACAAAACAGAAAGCTTCCATGGCTTAGCATCTTTCTACAGAGTTTAGTACAAATTTTAATAATACTAATCCTATGAAGAACGAAAAATTTATTTGAAAGCAACATCTAAAATTAATAGAAAATGACAAAAACACCTGTTATGCATCTTCTAGACTTCTCAAAAGTGTTAGACTGTTTGATGCATCTCAAGTAGGCATCAATTGTGTATTTTAGCCAAAAAGGGAATGTGATTGCTTTCTTATTGAGAAATTTAACACGCAATGCAAAGATACACCCAAAATAACAAGGAACTCTATGTTATGATACAGACACATCATCCTTGCCATTGTTACCTACTTCCAAGAGAATTTGTTCTATATCCCGGCCATGAAGCTCCTAAATATATGCATTGTCAGAATAAAATTAACCATTATCAAGCAACTTATGTGGCTTTTTTGCAAGAGAATTCTTTCCTAATCAAAACATAAGAAAGAATTCAGGAATCAAGTAGTAGATGCATTGCCAGATGAAAATAATTCTCACCCCTATGGCCATCCAAGTACTAGATTGTGATTATATCAAAACATATGATTCATCTGGCAAAGAGCTTGGCATAATCCATCAAGACCTAGTAGCTGAAAATATGAGGTGCACTTAAGCATCTTCTGGATCTCTACAGGGTGTTAAAAGTTGTTTGATGCATCTCAAGTAGGCATCAGCTGTGTACTATAGCCAAAAATGAAATATGATTGCTTTCATAGTGAGAAATTTACCACAACACGGAGATACAATATATGTTACTATACAGACACTTAGTTGTTGCCATTGTACCTGCTTCCAGACCATAAGGCTCTCAACTATACGTATATCAAGCGGAGCTTAACCATTGTCAAGCTAATTAAGCGGCTTCATTGCAAAAAAAACTTTACTAATCAAAATATTCTTAAGGATTAGGGAATCAAATAGTAAAATAAATTGCCATATGACAATGATTCTCATCTCTGTGGCTATCCAAGTACTTAATTGTGATTAGATCAAAACATATTATTCATCAGGCAAAGAGCTTGGTATAATCCACCGAGACCTAGTAGCTGAAAAATATGCTCAATTTTTCACTTCATGATGGACACATTTAGAGGAAACAGGTTGTTTGGCCAACACGTCACTCCAACTGGAAGTAATCTTAATACTATCAGGTGGTATAGCAGATCATTTTACAAGATATAAAACAATCGTCATAATGGAGGATTGATTTTATTGGCCAAGCATAAAAAGAGATGTGATTAGAGCAATTGCTAGATGTTGTGTATCAAGTGTATAAAGGGAAGAAGCATATCATTAGCGTATGCACTCCTCTACCTTTTACCCATTGAACCTTGGACTTAAGAAGCATGGATTCCATACTTGCTTTTTCAAAGATAGCTATAAACCACGACTTGTCTTTTGAGGGAATGGATCGCTCCTCCAAGGTGTTTTCATTTTATACCGTGTGCAAAACCACAGATGCTTCTAACATGGCCAAACTCTTCTTCATATAAGTATTCGCTTGCACTGCTTACCACCATTCCTTGTTTCCGATTGTGAAGTAAATTCCCTAAGCTACTTATGGCATACATTGTGAATGATGTTAAACACTAAGCTCAATTATTCTACATCCTTTCATCCACAAATAACAAGACAAAAGAAAGGGGCTACACAATCCAAACACCAGAGCCCTAAGATGAGTAGGATCATAAACGCAAGAAGGCCCCCAATTAGTTTTTTCTCAAATAGAATTCTTGTCACATTAAAATTAGTCAAATAAAAAATTAGTTTCCCATTAAGATGTCACTTCCAGTAGAATTTGAAATATAGCACTTCCATTAAAGATTCACTAGGATTTTAATTTTTATCATTTTTTAACGGAATTTCCATCATCTCATAGTAAAATTAAGTATAGATTTCTAAATAAATTCCGTAATAAAGTTAATTTCTTCCAAACATAGCGTAAATTTTGATTTACATATAGATTAGGATTTGATAATTATTTCTATTATTTTATTTGTTTAGTTAAGATTTATACTTAAATCATGTAAGGACATTCTTATTGCATAGAGTTAGATTACATAAGAATTAATTTTCCTTTACAATGGGTATTAAGAGCACCATAAATATGTAAAATCATTCTGCTAAAATTCATTTAACAACATTTTTTTAGAAGAATTCATTCAATAACATATTATTTATTCTTCATTTTCTTTATGGATGTTCTGATTTTTATTTTGCCCAAGCTGATTTCAGGAGGTCCAGTGAATTCTAGTATGCATGTCTAACTTGAATAATGTCAAAGCAAACTTTCATAAACTTGAACAGGATAAAAACTTATTTGACATTTCCGCCAAGGTTTGGTATTAACAGCACTATAAATATGTCAAGCAATTATGCTATAATTCACTCAATAACATGTTACTTATTCTTCATTTTCTTCTTTATGGATTCCATGATTTTTTTCCTCAGTTGATTTCAGGAGGTCCCAATGAATTATACTATGTATGACTAACTTGAATAATATCAAACCAAACTTTCATAAACTTGAACAGGACAAAATCACTGAAATTTCCATTCCATGTCAAGACTATAAAAAAGGAACCCTTTTAAATTTAAAAAATGTATAAAAAAAAGACAAACATAAACAAACAAAAGGAGAGGTAAAAGATTTCATGCTTTCTCAATATGTAAGAAAATATATAGAAATCTACCACTGCCGTATGCGCATAACATCAGTTCCATGCTGCTTAGAAGGTATCCGATTCAATTGTTCAACAACTGAAGTTAAGAAGGACCAATTCTAGAAAATTACCAATAGAGAAGAAAAAAGAGTGAGAAATCAGAGCATCAATTCACATGATAGCTGCAAAAGAAAAAGAAATTCCATATTTTTTTTAATGTGTTTCCGGTTAAACTTAAAACATACAACATACCTGCATGGATATTATATCTGCATGATCGATAATTAAAACCTGAACAGATCAATGAAACATTAACTCAAAGAAGTAACACTGTTCCAAGCAATTAAATTGAAATTCTTGGAAATTACAGTCATTTTCACTTCACACATCAGAGCAGGTACTCAGATGCTTTTCATTATCTGGACTGCTGATCGATAATAATTTTGGCGGTGGGAAAGAAAAGTATAATGATCTTTACACAATAGATATGAAAAACTAACTGAAATTAATTTAATTGAAACACATATCAACTAAGTAGTTATAGAAGCCGCAAGAAAGGTTCTTTTAATATCACCCAGCCTGAAGGGAGGTTAATTAGACTCTAACATCAAATAAAAACATATTCCCCAAACAAAATGTTAAGTTAAAATGGAGTACCTCAATGGATGAGAGATAATCAACATCAAGTTCCTTCTCTTTCTCAGCTTTTTCAATCATCTACAACAAGAACAAAGTTTTTTAAATTGAATGTTCAAATTGTATGTGATACAACAAATAACTAAATTGAATGACAAATAAATCCATCATGATCAGAGTAGGTGAAAACACAACAAGCTTAATTTTCATTTCAAATTTAACAGCTTCAACATTCAGGGATGTCCAGAATTAAGTGTTTTTTATTAAACAGGTTGTGGATATAAAAACTATTGCTTCGATAGGAAAAGAGCGCCAAAATGATACTTAAGTGTGGAGTTGTTAAATTAGCTGTCAATAGCAAGAGATCTTGTAGGGGAAAAAACAGAAAAATCTCTGAAAATTTTGTTAATGCTGAACAGAAAAAAAAAATAGACTAATTTCTAGGTATTTACAGACTCCCCTAAACTACAGCCTAGTGCTATTTGAAAAGCTTAATAATATTTAATTTAATAAAAATAAAAATTAAATGTGACAACCCATGTGCCCTTGATGCTTAACTGACACTGTTAACTTTAGACATCATCATAATATTCGTACAACTCCTGGTAAAAAAAATATTCATAGCTCTTACTGTTCCTTAAAAAAATACTCTTACTATGACAAGAAAGAAAAAGCATAGAGAATATTATAGAACTCAAAAAGGAAAAGAAAGCTGAAAATAAAGAAAATTCCAGATTTACTTTCTCCTACTGAACCCAGAAAAGTCTAGACTATTGATTGTCCAAATCTTGGCTTTTCCATATTATAAACACAGAATGATATGGTGCATCATCTTTCTTCGATAGAGAAACAGAAGTATACACAAACACCAAAAGCTACCTTTGCCTCCAACCCAACATACATAGAGAATGAGATACAGTAAAAAATAAAATTTAATCTTTGAAAGGTTAAAATAGAGAGAAAACTATATCAAAAGAAAAACTAAAAAAAACAAACTTACCAAAAAAAAAATGAGAGCACAAAATTTAGCATAACATGTTGAATAAAGTGGGCAAGTGCGAAGTTGGGGAGACAAAAAGGCCTTTCCTCAACCTTATTTGAGATTTTATCTAAAGCTCAGGGCAGCCAATTTAAGGAAATTAAAGATAGGACAATACTCTAGACCTTTGAGTTTTGAAGGTATTTATCAACTAACAGGATAACCTCAAACAGAAAATATCATTCTTTATCACATGACTCCCTAACACTTCTCAAAGTTTTACATCATTGCCATTTCAAAACATGTAGATGAGTTGTCATTAATTAGAAGAGAATTATAGAAAATATCAAGGTTAGAAATCTTAAGTAGATTAGAAACTATAATTATTTTAAATACAAAATTATTAGTCTATTACTATCATTTTTGGTAACTTTAAGATTTGATTCCTTTTTAGTATTTAGTTTTCCTACCACTTTTAATAGTAAGTATTTCCTAGTTTTGTTAATATTAGCATTTCTTAATTTAACCCTGCTTTGGAACGGGTACTTAGAAATTACTATAAAATCCTTTCTAGTCTCAATTTTGAGAATAGGTCAGTATTTACTTTTCTCAAATTTTTAGGTTTTTGATGCAATCAAACCCTTAAATATAACACAAAATTATTATGATATAGAAAACTCTAGTTGTGACATTTAGGTTTTTATTCTCAAATCCCTGAGCAGGAAAATTTAACCTAATCTGTCCTGTAGCCATTACCTTAATCATTTATGTTGTTCCTGAATCATATTTTCTTAAAATGTTGTGAGAAAGAGTATACATGCAGAGACAATTTTACAAGCTTTACAGCATCCCAAGGAAGAATTGATCCATATAGAAATTTATACCTAGGGGCTACTATAAAACACCAAGCTTTCATTAGTAAAAATTGAACTTTGAGCAAGTAAAAAGTAAAATAATGTTGTGTTTTGCAAAAATGATAAACAAGTTGTAATATATGTAACATTATTTCCCATACAAGAAAGAGATACTTAATTTTAATATCATAAACACCTAGAAAAAGAAAAAAGAAAGGAAACAAGAAAGCAGTTATATTGTAGGAAAATAATGAGGGATTAATGTTTTACCATATGTAATTTGACAGGAGAAGCAATAATCATGTCCGAGGAGTAGAAATCACCATATAACTTTATGCTCCTCCTGAAAGTGCAAGGAGAGGGTAAACGAGGGGCCAAGAAAGAGTATAAATGGCACTATTTTCATTTTAAAAAAATAAAGCGTAGAAAATACTTTATGTACATAACCTTTCTGTTTATTAAATCAAAAGAAAATAACTTACCTAGTAAATTTAATTCCTATCATAAATTCATCATCACTATTCCCACCAAAAAGCACTTGAAAATCAGCAGGTTTGGAAGATTTCTGAGAGTTCAGATTTTCATCGTCAAAAGTATCTTGCGATTTATTCTTATCTTCCTCATTCATGTCCCTTCCAGTTCCAAATTCATCACAGAAACGTTCAAGGTCCTCCACATTAACCTGAGACAATAATGAATAAATTTGAGAAATAAATCTAGGATTTGAAAAAAAATGAATATAAATATCCAACATATTTCAGCCCTTTCATAGTATATACTGTGTCAGCGATTTTTTTAATGGAGTGCATAAAAATTTGTGCATATGCATACTGTGTAAACAAGATTGGCTAAGAAATCAATTTTAGAATACTGTAAATCTTGTAAACCAGAAAGCAGAAATGTTACTAAGATCTATGGAATCAGACCAGCTTGGCTAATGATGGTCCACCTGAGCCTGCACTGGTAACCTAAAAAATTTATTTAAGTGGCCTTACTAGCAATGCTTACATTAAGGAGCACACTCATAAGACCGTGACACTTTGATAACTCAAATGCATTCACAATCTATAAGAAGAGGATAGCATGACTGATAAAGGACCCCTGCAGGGGCAATTACTCCTTAAATATAGATTTGATATATGTGTGTGAGTGTGTGTGTGTGTCTGTATGTGCATGTAAAGATTTTTTTTTTGGGTAGACAGAAGAAATATTATTAAGGAGAGAGAGCACAAAGCATAAGGACATGAAAAGATTATACTTCTTGTGTAAAATTATAAACAGATTGCTTAACAACAATGGATCAATTTTAAGCAAGTTGCAATTCAGATAAATATAACTGATACTAATTAGAGTAATTGGAATACCTTGTGAGCATTAGGAGTTAGTTGTATAAGCCTCTTAACAACACGAAATGCAATGCTTCTAAGTGGCAGCAAGATCAAAACCTGGAATGAACATCAAAAAATGAAACTTATTCTCTAAGAATCAGCTATAGTACAAAAATGCATAAGTTTCATTTCAGGGAACAGGGATGGGAAAAAATTTACAAATTTCTATGATTTTCCAGGAATAGGCCTTTCTAGAAGGAGCCAAATGACAACTAGCTATTTATCATACAAAATGATTATAACATCAGTAGTAAAACATAAACAATGGCGTTGCAGCCCCCATCACTCGCCCTCAACTTGATTAACAGGAGAAAAAAGGCATATAAATACTTGAAATAGCTTTCTAGGGGCTCCTGTGAGAAGTAAAACCATTGACTTTGGAGTCCCAATCATTCCTATGCAAACCGAACTTACTCTTACTTTTTCTATGCCACAAACACTAAGATTTCTAGTATTCAGACCCCCAACCCTCTTAAAGAAATAGCAAGCCTCCCATCTAACAAAATAGTCCCTCATAGACCCACTTGAACCAAAATAAAGAAAATCCCTCCACATCCTCTCAACTGCATGAAAATTCTAGGAGCTTTGAACATGAAGAGAGTCAGGAGGGAAATACTATAAAGACAAGCCTATATAAGAGTAACCCCCCCACCACCAAAGAGAAAAAAAGGCACCTTTACAAGACCGAAGACTTTTAGTGATCCAACTTATCACCAAATTGAAAAATGAAAATCAAAAAAAGAAAAAAAGCTATCTAAGCAGCCAACTTATCCCCCTCAAGCAACCCACCACCCCTCTCCCCCCGCGCCCTCCAAAAATAGGGGTATCCAAAAAAATTGATTAACCATTTACCCCTCCACATTGATACCCATCAGAAAACCAACTTTCTTAAGGTTAATGCATGAATCTGATATGCCCTCAAACTCTTGCAAGACAGTAAGAACATCAAAGAATTTCACAAGGCCGTGACAAAGAAAAAGAATCATGTCATCAACAAACCGAAGCTAGGACATTTCTGTGAGACATTTTCACCCCACCAATAAAAGAACTTAAAAATTTAAGTGATAGTAATAGTAATTATAATAATTAATAACTAACAATAATAATAAGAGCAAAAATGTAACTGTTTCGGCAATCACATCAAGAAAAGAGACTAAAAAGTACCTTAGGACGAGTAAACCCTTGGTCAAGGAAACCATCACTAGAAAAAATTTCTTCTGTAGCATCTTGATGCTTGACCATTCTTGCATCATTCTTTGTCACCAGATCTCTAGTTCTCAAGATGTGATTCAACTGCATGAAGCATTTTCCCCGTTTAACCACTTTAAAATGAAAATAAACTCAACTCTGTCAAAAAAGGTAAGTATTCAAGGAAATAAATAGGTTAAGCACACACCGAATGCATAAGGTATCCATCCATAATAGTAGCGTCTTCATCCGAGCCTTTATTGTAAAAAGGTCTTTTGTTACAATGCAATATATCCCGATAGCTGTTGCCTATAAAAAGTTAGCCTTAATCAATCACTATAAAATGGATACAAAGTACAAACTGTAGAAATCAGACAAAATTAACTGATGTTCAATAGTGCATATGGTGAGTTTTCCACATTGCTTATACAGAAAACAAGCAGAAAAACACATAAATAATATCAAAATTAATTGAATCTAATATTATTTACATAAGCAATAGAAATTAGGGGAAAAAACTTCAAATTGGCGTAAGAACTAATACAGTGCATACAACTATAAGTGGGACCTACAATACTATGAAAGGAATTTTCAAATCCATTTTAAGCTATCCCTAATAAACTAACAGTTTCCATGTACTGGGAAGCTGATACCAACTAATGAGTGAACATGCTGCAGTCAACTAAATGATAACTAATAACAATATTTTGCACCTAAAGGGCCTCTCCTTTCTTTCTTGTTTCTTGTTTTCTTTATTTTTTTCTCGTAAAAGAATGCCTTGTCCTCTCTCTATTTCTAATTGCTTCTACCCTACATAATAATACTTCTTTTATCTATATACAAATGTGTGTGTATATATATATTTCACACTCAAAGGTGAAGCACATCACCGGACATATTACTTTCCATGTCTTTTGACATAAAATCTCAAATGATGATGTCCGTTATCTTTTTCTTGGGGGAAAAAGCAAAAAATAGTATTCAAAAGGCATCAAAGGTATGCTGTCCATGTACAACAGACATTTCCAAAAGATCATTTGAAAATATATCAAAAAGGTCCCTATGATATTCTTAGTTAAAGACTTCTACAATTTTACCAAACAGAAAGCATTGATCATCTTCTTTGTCATCTTAGAAAGGCTACAATAACTGGTGCATGTTTACTTCCTCTTCCTAGAGGATGAAGTTTACTTTGGACCAAAACTCATCCAAAGAAAGCTTTTAAAAGGAAATATGATGTACTCAAATATTAAGAAGCTTAACCTCATTTGAAAAAGTTTCCATTCAGGTAACAATAAAGCTACCAAACTAAGATCATCTATACTAAAATTTGCATAACTACCATTGAAATTTCACAGTTGATAAATTAGTCGAAGTTAGATCATGATTAAGTACCAAGATTTTATTGGATATCCAACAAGCAGCTTAAATTTTGCTTGAATCTATTTTGACCCACACATTGACTGGAAAGAGCTCAATTGATTTTAGTTGACTTGATAGTTAAATACTAGCATATTCCTATCTCACATACCAAACTAGCGATTGCAATGCAGAACCAAGGATAATCTGTCTGCTAAGCTATGTCCTCACTCTATGTCAATCTAGTCAATTCATAACTAGGGAACCCGTAGATAATACCATATTTTGCAACTTTTTAGTTCTATGAGATAATATTGAGTTACCTAAAACACAGTACACAGTAGATACTAAATTTAGGTTCGTGGGGAGATAAACTTAGATGCTAGGTAATTTTGATTCGAAGCTCCATTGAACCACTCGCTAGATTTCTTATTGCTAAATTCAAGTTTTTATGAAACATACGTACATAGAGAAAAAAAGGATCTCTGTTTAGATGAATGGAAGTCTTTTCCCCCAGATTTCTTGTAGGTATCCAGCCAGTACTTATACAACTTTGGCTTAAGACCATACTGAGACTCCATCTCACAATCCTACAAGAAGCATAGCAACCAATGAGTAACAAAAATGTAGAAAACATATGCAATTTAATAATGTTAACTGTAGATACTAAGCAAGCATATTTACATTGGAGTTTCCGGTCTATACAAATTTCACTTCTGTATTCTAGATTATAAACCACAAAGCAGGGATACAGCTTTTGTACTTGACACAGCATAATATAGATATATATTTTTTTGAAATAATTGACACAGCATGATATTAGGCCACCTCCATGCTTTATCGAATTTTCGTTTTTTTTAAATAATTGACACAGCATAAAATTAGGCCACCTCCATGCTTTATCGGATTTTCATTTTTAACATTCACTAAACAAACCCTGACAAGTACCATCTAAAAACTTCAACAAAATTCAGGTCCCTGCTGTATAAAGGTAGCACTACATCTTCAAAAGAAAAGATAATAGTCTAACAGGCCAACCCAAACCCTAATTTCCCAAGCTCATGAACCATAAAAATACCAATACTGATAGCAAAAAACTCCAGATATCTAGTTCCGCTGTATAGCACACAGGATTTATATCTCCTGAAAAAAAAAACACTGTTTTTTATGGTCAAATATGTTCACCAGCCACAACAGCACCTAGAAGAACCAACAAGGAAAATTACTATAACACTCCATATTTCATCCAACACAGTTATCTCCTATACGTTAAAAAATATATGCCCCCTATCATATCCAAGGCTAACAATGAAATCTACACTTAACTTTTCAGTTGGTCAAAATTTCCATCAATTGACAGTCTTCCAGGGAACCATATTTTTTTGAATTCTTATATTAATGTTAAAAACTAAAAAGCCAATTAAAATTAATCACATATATTTTATATCTTATAACTGATAATTATTTCATATTAAAATATTGAAACACTATTAAATTTATCAATTTCATCAAATATTATATTTTAATTAAATAAAAAATCCGGCCCTGACCACTGGAAGCAAGATTTGGCCCAGGAGAGAGTGAGACAGAGATAAAAGACGCAAGTAATAATAAACAAAATGATCGACCAAAAGAGTTGCAAGACATACTCTCAGGAAACACTCCCCTGTTCCCTTCCACTTGCAATTCGGTATTCCAGTGGCAGTCGACTCCCATTTATATTTCCATTTACCTTTTGGCAGATCATCAACCTCTTCTTTTGTTATTTTGTGACCAAGGTGCTCACTGAAGGCACTGCATGAAGAAAATCATGTTTAAATTTTAATAACTTAGAGAAAATAAACTTGCGTACATTATTATAAGGTGTCTTAACTTCCAATTAAAGATTATAAGAAACTGATGTTCCCTACTCAAGTAGAAGACAAAATCAGTATATAATATAAATAGTTTCGAGACTGTCGGAAGAAATGTGCTTAAAGCATTAGAGTATTTTAAATTACTTAAAAGTAGATAATATATTATTCAAAAAAATAAAATGTATGCATTGGATAAAGTGCTAATTACAAAAATAAGGAACTTTTTAATTTAACAAAAAATAAACAGTTATCATGCCACCATGGTGGAGGGTCATGCTAGCTACAGGATTGCAACGAAACCTTTTTTTTAGATAAAAGATTGCAAAGAAACTCTTGTTAAATTAACAACCAAACAGTGGAATAAAGTTCAAATCTGGGTCAAATTCTTGAAAAAGGAAGGTCTTATTAGGGAATTGGAGAGGACGTACAGAATGTTAAGGGAGGCTTGGTCATAAGTGTAGATGCAGAAAGGAGAGTTAATATTTGTATGAAAATGGTAAATTTATTCTTGATGTAAGAGATAGCATAGAGACAGAAATCAAGAGACATTTGAATTAAAGAAAGAAAATAAAAACGCCAAGTTCTTTCACAGTATAGCTAGTCATTCCACAAGATATAACTAACTATGTGGAAGAATTTGAGATAAATAGTTGCATCATCAAAGGGAATGAAGTGTTGAGAGAAAAAGTGAACACTTTTCTTGAAGACTTGTACCCTGAACAGACCATCCAAAGACCAACATTGGATGGTCTAGATTTCAACACTCTAAAGATGTAGGAAAGGACATGGGTGGAGAAGCCATTCACGAAGCAGGAAATTTTTTATCCTCTCACGTCATGTAAGGGAGACAATGCCCTAAAGCAGGATGGTCCGGAACCACCTCTCCCTAAGCAGGATGGTCGGGCCCTAAAAGTCTCATATTTCTTTCTTTTCATAATACCCAAAATATTGCAAGAGGGATAAGTCCTCAATACTTTTTCCAACCGGAAATACTCTTCCAAGCCCAAATCTCATACCTAACAGTACCAGCCACAACCCAATTGAATCCCAAAATCCCATAAGCCATAGACCACAGACTATGCACAATGGGGAACCAAAGTAGAATACGATAACGAGTCTTTTCCGGCCTCTTACATAAACAATACCAATTTACCATGATCTTTCCCCTCCTCACTAGTTTATCAATAGTCAAAATACATCCACAACATGCTTGCCAAGCGAAAAAAGCTCCCTGGGGAGAGCATCTACCTCTTAGATTTGCCTGAACAGAAATTGTTCTCTATAAGCTCTTGAGAAACAGAACCCCAGCGATAGCTTGGGAACAAAAAGAATTTCCCAGGAAAAGGAATTTTGAGGAATACGGCAAAGAATTTACCTGTTTTCCTCATAATCCCAGTGATTTTTGCAGTTACCTCCCAGATTTGCCTTTTCAAGAGTAGCGTAGAAACAGTAAGGAATTTCTAAGGCTATCAAGTATAATTCCCACTTCCCAATGTTAACATTTCAGACTTGGTTAGATTGATGTTAAGGCCAAAAATTGCTTGAAAACAGAGCAAGACGCATCTAAGGTTGAGTAGATGTTTCTTCCGATTTGCAAAATATTTACTTCCTCAAACATCTCTCCTTCTCCCACAATGACTCCTCTGAACAAATCCAGTTCCCTAGCTCTCAACAGCAGTTTGGTCAAAACTTCCATGATAATAATAGACAATAAGGGAGATAATAGATCTCCTTATCTAAGGCTTCTAAATGCCTTAAAAAAGACGATGGTTCCCCATTCACCATGACCAGGAATCATGTCCTGTGATGCATGAATAGATTCACTTACGCCATTTAACTCCAAATCTCATTCTTGCTAGCATAAAATCAATGAATCACCAATTAACATGATCATAGACCTTTTTCATGTCAAGTTTGCACAGAATCCCATCTCTTTTCCTGAAAAACAGCTCATCAACCACCTCATTATCCACAAAAGCCGCAGCTCGTGATTTGTTGTCATTCGATAAAAGCATGTTGGCATTCCCCCACCACTTACCGACACTTTTACCATCCTCTTGGCTAGCATCTTTGATATAAGTTTATAAAAACACAAACTACTAGGCTTATCAGCCGGAATTCCCTAACATTCACTGCTCCCTCCACCTTGGCAATTGATAACACAAATCTAAAGCTAAGAGATTTTACGAAAGACCCCGCCTCATGCATTTCTTTCAACAGCTCAACTATATCTTCTTTTACCAGATACCAGTTCTGCAAAAAAAAACCATATTAAAATCATCAAGACCAGGAACTTTGTCCTTTCTGCATTGCATAAGCCCCTCATAGATTTCCTCTTCCATAAACCCTCTTTCCATCAAATCCTTACTTAACTCGTCCAATGTGTTAAAATTGAGACTGTATAGTTTAGTCCTCCAATCAAACTCCTCATAATACAATCCCTAACTCCTTACCCCAAACTCCTACTGCCTTCTGCTATTCTGCCATCAATTTCCATCCACATAGTTGGATCCTCTATAGTAGTTAGCCATACAACTGAAAACTTTTATATTTCAGTCCCCCTCTTTTATTCATCAAGCTCTTGACTTTTGTCTCTAAGACAACTCCTATATCTGTAGTCTGTTTTCTAGTTCCAACTCAAACAAAGCATCTTAAGCTTCCTTCCATCTATTGTCGCAATTTCCTGAAATAATAATTGCATATTTGTACTCTCTCTGTGTCTCTCTTCTTTGTTCCATTTCTTAATTTCAACCTTCATCGCCTTTAACTTTGGTGTTACTCTAAAACTGGGCTTGCATTCACCCCATTGCCCCTCCATCATTCATTCACCCTTAACCATTTGTCCTCATATATGAACGGACAAGGGCCCCACTTGATCTAATTTGAGGTATATAGGAAATGATCCAATGTGGCCCTTTTGGAACAACCTTTGACACATACCTGAGGCTTGAACCTGACATGAGGTTTGACACTAAGAATCTATCAAGGATCTCCTTACATTCTTCCGCGCAACTCCTTGAAAATTAAGTCTATTCATACTATTAGGGAAAAAATGACTTATGTTGCCTCTTCGTGGGCTACAAACAAACTTTATCAGGAATTGGCATTTTCTATTATGCAAAGGAATTGAAAGATTGTTTTGTAATCAAATTTGGCACCTTTTCCTCTTTTTTCAATTCTTGGTTTTTGTTACTTTTGTAAGAGGACACTTTTTCACTGTTCTTTTTTTAAAAATATATTTTCCACAGTTTTTTTTATTTTCTTTCTATCCTGATAGATATCGTCCTTTTCTACGAATAACAAATATTATTGCAATTATCAACCAAAAATAAAGGAACGCCAACATATATATAAAAGCAGTCAAACTAAGCCAAGTGAATCAACCTTGTGCTTAGGGATGCCTTGCTATCAAATTGACCATTATCATAATCTTGATCTGCATCTGATGCCACAAAATCATCCTCAATGTCAGCATCTCTATTCTGATCCCCAACTGCACTAGTTTCTTGCAGTATACTGTCCATCATATGACTTCTATGAGACTCATAATCAGTTCCTGTCAACAAAGACAAATAAAAAAGGACAGTTCAAGGC